ATGATTAAATTATATATATATATATATATGTAAGAATAAAAATGGAATAAAAATTATGATAATATGAATAAGTGCACAGGATATACATATATATGAGAAATACAGAGTTTAAATTTGGCCAATTAATATATTGCATTTATATATTTTGCTGCCAAAAGCGATTTTTTTTCTGTTTAGTGATATAATGATACTTGACACGTTTACGATTGTCATTGTCCGTCAGCTGACCTTTCGATTCTAATATGAGAACGCACGCACGCACTTAACAAATGCGATTGTCGCGATTATAAGTAATTACTTCTCACGATCAATTTTTTGATAATTATGTTTAATCGTCGATCGTTGCCTCTCGCGATTTTCAAATCACTCGGTAAAAATTATCAGAATATCTTTCAAGAACATTTCGTGTGGTTCCATTTTTTTTTTTTTTTATATTTAATATCTTCTAATAGCACGATATAAACTTTTAAACGACGTTTAAGTTTCATATCAGTCTCTTCTAAATCGTGATTCAACATCGCAGAGTGTACATAAATTCATCTGTAATCGATATATTATATCTCCGTAATTGAGTTGCGCAGTTTGTTTTCAAGCATCTCTCAAAGAGAGCTTAGCTCGTGATATTATTTCTTATCGGCTTTCCGTGAATTTTCGTTGCCAGTTTTTTTTCTCGTTCCGCGAAGAGCCGCGAGACAAGATCCAGTATCTGGATCCTCCTCTCCCCCCACCCCCTCTCCCTCCCCCCGCACCCTCCCTCTTGTCGCGGCGAGCGTGCGATCTCGCGATCACGTGGCTCGATCACGAAAGTTGGAACACTTTCACGTGGCGACTCGTCGGACCGGGTCGTCCTTCTTTTTCTCCTTCTGTCTCCCTTTCCTTCTTCCTCTCTCTCTTTCTATCTGTCTCTAGTTCCACGTTTCGTTTGCGCCTCGCAAAGATATCGATTTCGTTCCGAAGAAATCGACCGCGTTCAATTACTGTCGCGAGGAAAAAAGCTTTTTCACGCACGATTATCTGTCTGTTCTAAAAATGTCTTTAGAAAAAAAAACTCTCGGATTGATTTCGTTTTTTAAGAAATCGTCAACTGCAAGTGGAATATCGAATACAATACGAGAATCTGTTTACAATTTTTTATTTTTGCTTGGAAATAATTGAAATAATCTCTTTAGATATAGAAAATTTAATATCACGATCTTTATAAGAGAAAAAAATTACTAGTTTTGTTTAAAAAAATCAGTTGTGTTCTACATCGATGTAAAAACGACTTAGATAAATTTATATTATTTAATATTGAATGTTGATATGATATAATAAATTAATAAATTAACGTCATATTAATATAACGTTAATGAGAAAGCTAACGCGGATTTTTAGTAAAGGTCCCTTAGATTGGGGCAGGAAAATCGTACGTCTGCGACGTGCATTGTAAGGCCCTCCCATGGGACACCGACGTTAATGGCCGCGTAATTATTGTGATGCCGGCTCGTGCGCGTGACTGCTAATTGGGAGCGACCGTAATTGAGTTAATAACGCTGTGTTAAAATAGCGCGCCCGCACCCCCCCCCCTTCCATCCACCGACGTGTCTTCTTCCCTTTCGCGTCCTCGTCGTCGCATTAATCTTTCTTTCCCATGTATCTTTGCCTTGCTCCTACTTTTGCGATTAGAATACATAAAATCCGAAAGATTATCGAGTTATCATTCCGTTAAATTCGATTTCTAATTTAAATCGTCTTATTGATTTTCTCTTGTTTATCTCTTGCTTGCATTAGCATACTAGTTCCAGATGATTATTACACACGGTATTATATCACGTACATGATATTCTTTTTTATTCTTTGACTTCTTATTTTTTCTCAGATGCGGAAAATTAGTGTGTATCATTTCGAGATTTTCTTTTTCATTTTTTATATCTGTTTTTTTTTTTTTTTATGTATTATACCCACACTTAAATGTGAAGAGATAATGTTACTAAAATGAATATTATTTCAAATTTCTTCTATTTATTAAAATTAATATTTTTTATAACAATATTTTATTAAGTTTTTTCTAATTATTTTTTGGGCAAATTTTTTCTGATCTTATTTTAATAAAAATTTGAATAAAATACTACAGTTTATGTAACTTTATAACTTTGAAAATTTAATATCTCGATCTCAAAATTTTTTAAAAATTGAATTATTATACCTGGAAATTAATTAAAATATGAGATTTTGTTAATAAATTTCTTAATTTATTACGCACTAAAGACCTACACATTAATTTTCCGTTATTAAACTTTCTCTTAAATTCATATCGATTAAAAATAAAAGCAAGATAACAAAAATATTATATAAATAAAAATATATCTTGATCTCAAAATTTTTTAAAAATTGTATTATTATACTCGGAAATTAATTAAAATATTAGATTTCGTTATTAAATTTCTTAATTTATTACGCACTAAAGACATTAATTTTCCGTTATTAAACTTTCTCTTA